TCTCGCGTCCAATCCTATGGCCGAGGATCGCGAGGGGAGCGTCTCGCCCTCGAACAGCCTCGGCGAGCCCGAGGGATTCTCCACCTATAATCCCGACGGATGTCCAGATCCGGCTTGCGTGTTGAGATCTACCAGACACCACCATTGTTCCCAGCTTAGGTGTCACTTCTCCACGGACAGGCCCGACCAATTACTGATGCACAGCAAAGACTTTCACGATAACGTCGACATACCGCCAGGCTTCGCCTTCTTCGATAAGATGGTAGATTGCCGGCTGGTCGGTTGTCACAGTAATCGCGTTAATCGCCATTTCCATTGCACCAGGCCGAACTGCGGCTACTCGTTCGTCAGATACTCGACCATGGCGATGCACGAGAAACAGCACGGCAATAGCCACGGTGGTAACGACAGTCGGTCGAACGTCGTCGAAACGTCGTCCAACCAAGAGTGTCAGACCCACGCCCAACCGATGGTCCAGGATACGACCAAGCCTAGGATTCAAGTGAAGAATCCGGCCGAGCTGATCGAAAAACCCGAAGAATGTATGGCGAGTGGTGGTGGTGGTGGTAGTGGTGGTGGTGGTGGTGATATGGAGAATAGATCGATGATGGACGAGAAGGAATCGGAGATTCCGAGCCCGGATGTCAACAAGACGACCGGTAAGTTTAATTTTCCACGTGGACACGAACCAGTGCACCTGTTGTATAGTATTGTTTTATAGACGAGTTTTGTTTGGTAGTTATTTGAGATGTTGAGATGTCGAGGAGACAATCGTCGAGTCGATGCATGTCTTTTGCACGTACACGCACACCTCATATGCGTATATTACGATTCACGTTCGCACTTCTCAATCCTTTCGACTTTTATCATTCGCCTTTTATTCGCGAATAAAATTATTAATATTTCCGTCGAAAGGATTACAAAAAAGAAAGAAGGAAAGAAAGAAAGAAAGAAAAAGAAAAATACATTTTCACCTTATTTTTGTTCTCCTTTTTTTTTTTTATTTCTTACATGGACACATACACACGCATACATATACACACACACATATATATATATATATATTTTTTTTCTTTTGTTGCGTTTGACGTATCTATTGTACAAGGTGGTTGTAATTATAGTGGGAGGTATTGAAGTGTTGGTTGTTTGGTTGATTGTTGCTAGTGGTGAGGGCGGCAGGCACCTATTATCCGGTTAGTGGACCGCCGAGTGAAC